CCTCAACTTATCTAACTTAGTCTTTTCAAACAGTGAATTGCTTCTATATGCAAGAGTAAAAGAATGAGTATTAATGTTTGGGATCAGTGAGACTTGTAATGTTTTTAAAGAAGTCTCTTCTGCTCATCAAGGCTGCATTTATTTGATCAGAAATACAGAAAAAAACAGTAATCTTGCTTAATGTTATTACAATATAAAATAATTGTTTCTATTTTAATATCCTTTAAAATATAATTTATTTATGTGCTGCAACGCTGAATTTCCATCAGCATCATTACTCCAGTATAAAGAGTCACATGATCTTCAGAAATCATTCTAATATGCTGATTTATTATTAGAATTATCAACAGTTGTGCTGCACAATATTTTTTGGAAACTGCAATACTTTTTTCAGGATTCTTTGATGAATAAAAAGTTTAAAAAAGAACAGCGTTTATTCAAAATATAAATCTTTTCTAATCATATAAATCTTTGCTATAACTTCTTAAGAATTTAACACATCCTTGCTGAATAAAAGTTTTAATTTCTTTAAAAATGCTGCTCATGCGTTGTGTAGCGGTGGACTCTGCACTACTAATCCCATGCGACATTTGAAAAGCATGCGCCGTTTAAATACTGCGTTTCCTTTTCAAAACATTTGTTTGTCTCAGCAGATTGTCGGCTTTTTTCTGCTTTGGTAAGTTTATATTTCAAACGTTCTGTTTAGAGAGTTCATCTAAATACTAAAGCAACTCGAAATCTCCATGTGAAGCGTATGGCTACCTGTGCAGATAACTACATGAATGTACTAACTACACTTTTGTTTAGGACCCGTATTGAGCTAATGTAAGGGCTTTTGAGCTCATTTAGTGTATTCACAATACTTTAGCATGGCTTAAAATGATGCTCTCACACATTCACAGTCTTGCATGGTTTCACCGGTTTATGCCATCATGTGTATTGCATATAAACTGCAGATGTTCGTTTCCATTTAGAGAACAGAACTTGTATTATTGACACATTGCATATGAAGGAGTGTTGTTCATAGCAAGTGCAGGGCTCATATAATGACACCTGAGGTCATGTGGCTTTCAGAAGTGCCTTCAAACTGCTTTATACAGCATTATAACCCTCAACTTATCTAACTTAGTCTTTTCAAACAGTGAATTGCTTCTATATGCAAGAGTAAAAGAATGAGTATTAATGTTTGGGATCAGTGAGACTTGTAATGTTTTTAAAGAAGTCTCTTCTGCTCATCAAGGCTGCATTTATTTGATCAGAAATACAGAAAAAAACAGTAATCTTGCTTAATGTTATTACAATATAAAAGAATTGTTTCTATTTTAATATCCTTTAAAATATAATTTATTTATGTGCTGCAACGCTGAATTTCCATCAGCATCATAATTTCTTAAGAAATTAACACATCCTTGCTTAATAAAAGTTTTAATTTCTTTAAAAAAAAAAAAAAAAGGAAGAATAAAAATGTACTGACCCCAAACCTTTGAACTCTAGTGTATATTGTTAGAAAAGATTTCTATTTTTAAATAAATGCTCTTCTTTTAAACTTTTTATTCATCAAAGAATCCTGAAAATAATTAACACCGGTTCCGAAAAAATATGAAGCAGCAACAGTTTCAGCACTGATAATAAATCAGCATATTATACTGATTTCTGAAGATCATGTGACACTGAAGACTGGTGTAATGATGCTGGAAATACAGCTGCGCATCACAGCAATCAATTAGATTTTAATGTATATTAAAATAGAAAATTTTTCACAATATTATATTTTTTCCTGTATTTTTAAACAAATAAATGCAGCCTCGATGAGCAGAAGAAACTCCTGTAAAAAACAACCATCATGTGTATTGCATATAAACTGCAGATGTTCGTTTCCATTTAGAGAACAGAACTTGTATTATTGACACATTGCATATGAAGGAGTGTTGTTCATAGCAAGTGCAGGGCTCATATAATGACACCTGAGGTCATGTGGCTTTCAGAAGTGCCTTCAAACTGCTTTATACAGCATTATAACCCTCAACTTATCTAACTTAGTCTTTTCAAACAGTGAATTGCTTCTATATGCAAGAGTAAAAGAATGAGTATTAATGTTTGGGATCAGTGAGACTTGTAATGTTTTTAAAGAAGTCTCTTCTGCTCATCAAGGCTGCATTTATTTGATCAGAAATACAGAAAAAAACAGTAATCTTGCTTAATGTTATTACAATATAAAATAATTGTTTCTATTTTAATATCCTTTAAAATATAATTTATTTATGTGCTGCAACGCTGAATTTCCATCAGCATCATTACTCCAGTATAAAGAGTCACATGATCTTCAGAAATCATTCTAATATGCTGATTTATTATTAGAATTATCAACAGTTGTGCTGCACAATATTTTTTGGAAACTGCAATACTTTCATGTCTGATGCTGTTATTTGCATGTGCAGGGTTTAAAGTGTCGTTACAAATGTAATGTTTTCCCACGGGGTATTTGTCATCCTCCCTGTCCAAAGAGTTGCAATTTTTGGCTGTTAGTGTGTTGATTCTGAGGAGGATATCGTCTTTCTCGCTGAACAGTCTCAGATACCTGGTTTGCTCCATCTTTACAGGCGATGAGGGTTTAAACGAAGCACGAGCATCATGGATGAGGACAGTAAACCTGTGTGTGTGTGTGTTAACTTATCTTCCCTGATCCATATCATCTGATGGTAAGTGTTCAGCCGGACGTTTCCACATTACTCACAGGACAGGAATCTGCTGTTGTTTTGTGTTCTCTAATGTGACGCTTTAGAGGCTGTGTGTGACATGTCTCATTATGTCTGATGCTGTTATTTGCATGTGCAGGGTTTAAAGTGTCGTTACAAATGTAATGTTTTCCCACGGGGTATTTGTCATCCTCCCTGTCCAAAGAGTTGCAATGTTTGGCTGTTAGTGTGTTGATTCTGAGGAGGATATCGTCTTTCTCGCTGAACAGTCTCAGATACCTGGTTTGCTCCATCTTTACAGGCGATGAGGGTTTAAACGAAGCACGAGCATCATGGATGAGGACAGTAAACCGTTACTAGGATCAGTGCGAGCTGGGGAGTATTACACCGATTCGTTGGACCCCAAGCAAAGAAGGTGCTGTTTTTATGCTGGCTCTAGTGTAACATCTTATTACCAATATTTTAAGTGAAATTTCAGATTTAGTAAGGAATCATAAAGACACATGCAATATTTTCATCTTTTGAAGTGTTTCAGCTATGCATTCTTCTTTTGGGCAAAACATAAACGTACTCAACAAATATTTATCATATGAAGTGCAGCAAAACCAATATTTTTTGAACCCAGCTCATCACAGGACCGACCACAGTGTGTTTCTAGTTGCCCAAACATCAGCTCTAACTGATGATAAAGGCCCTCTGAACTCAGAGAGTTTGTTTTTGTCAACTCAGTCTGTTTTCCTTCCAGGAATAATTAGCATCACTGGCCAGATTGAATTAACTCGGTCTGGTATTTCACAAATACTGTCTAAGATGTAGTGCTATGTGCAGTGTGCTTCAAAACAAAAAACCCTCCTAGTGCTGTTTAGAAAAGATTAAATCCCCTCCATGTGCACAATATTACAAAACACATTAATGCAGTGGTGCCCAGTCCTGTTTCTGTCCAGACCACCTACCTGTGTCAAGTGTTCCTGAAGACCTTAATTAGCTGTTTCAGGTGTGCTTGATTAGGGTTGGAGCACCCCTACACTAAGATATACAGTAATCGTTCTTGTTAGTCTTGTGCTGACTGACTCATGCATTTTTGCTTAAAGGTGAAGACCTAACTCTATGCATGTTCTGCAAGACTCCCCTTTCTATTAATCACATTCTTTTGGGCTGTCCCGGTTTTAATGCAAGTAGAAAGCTCTTTTATGAAGTTAGTTCACTTAAGGACTTATTTAGTAGGATTTTGCCTGAAAAGGTTAAAAAGGTCTTAAGTCGCTGGGGTATATTTGTAGCAATAGCAATAGCAACCCAAAAATACATTGTATGGGTCAAAATTACAGACTTTTCTTTAATGCCAAAAATCATTAGAAGATACTTTGTAAATTTCCTACCGTAAATTTATAAAAACGTAATTTTTGATTAGTAATATGCATTGCTAAGAACTTCATTTCTCAATATTGATTTTTTTTGCACCCTCAGATTCCAGATTTTCATATAGTTGTATCTCGGCCAAATATTGTCCGATCCTAACAAACCATACATCAATGGAAAGCTTATTATTCAGCTTCCAGATGATGCATAAATCTCAATTTCAAAAAATTGACCCTTAAGACTGGTTTTGTGCTCCAGGGTCACATATGTTAATTTACAAAAACTTGTATAATATTACTTGCAAGTGTTTGTTTGCTTGGTTTTTATTGTATTTATGCGATATTTGTATTGTTGTAATTGAGTTTGTGCCATGAAAATAGCCTCAGATGCTGACATGGCATTAAATAAAATTATATTACTACTAGTCTTGTGCTGATGTGAATCAGCCAAACATCTTGTGAAGAACATGTCCTAGATCAGCATTCTCATTCTGAGATGTTTCTGAAGCACCTCAGGGTCCCGTTTGCTTTGTCTTTCAGGCCGTTTCATGTGGAGCCCAGAAACATAGTGGGAGATGATGTTCAGGAGCGGGTGTCCTCTGAAGCTGCGGCGCTGAGCAGCAGAGTTCATTACTACGGCCGTCTGACAGCCTCTTCAGACCGACTGCTGGTGTGCCCGCTCGCTGTCTTGTGCTGATGTGAATCAGCCAAACATCTTGTGAAGAACATGTCCTTCATGTCCGACATGTCATTCTGAGATGTTTCTGAAGCACCTCAGGGTCCCGTTTGCTTTGTCTTTCAGGCCGTTTCATGTGGAGCCCAGAAACATAGTGGGAGATGATGTTCAGGAGCGGGTGTCCTCTGAAGCTGCGGCGCTGAGCAGCAGAGTTCATTACTACGGCCGTCTGACAGCCTCTTCAGACCGACTGCTGGTGTGCCCGCTCGCTTCATTACACTACACTACAAACACCACTGCATGTGTCAAATCTGCTTCTCTGTGTCTGGACAAACAAACATCAAAATATCTGCGGGTTGTTTATTAGGCCTGTTGCGATTATTTGCGATAACTACAGTCATCGTGCACGTCAAATCATATATTTCCAGAAAAAGACGAGAATTTTAAGTGAACATTCAGATGCCATTAAATGCACATTTGTTTAATTCCAGTGTTTGAGAATGCTTAGGGTTTCACTTTTTAATTATTTATTCATTCACTTTTTAACATTTGCACAATGGCAAATATTTTTGTCCATTGCATGTTACACATTTTATCACGTTAATGCCACAGAAAAGGAGATAAGCTACTAACACTAACTTTACGGATGTTAAGGTGCATTCACATTAGTGAAATTTATGTAAAAAAAAAAATTGTTTTTAAAAAATGTAATGATGCATGAAGCACAGCTCACTTTCAAACCAAGCAGCTTACTGTTGGTCAACACAGCAAATCATAGCATATTACTTTTACACCAACTCAGTGGTCTTCCTTTGTGTGAAGTTAAGGCTTTTGGGTTTAGTCAGACCACCTTAAAATGACACAAAGTGTTCAACACAATTGTGAATCATATTCAAAGTGATTCATTCAGTCTACATCTATCCAATATAGGTTTACAAATCCTTAAAGCAATAGTTCACCGTAAAGTCATCATTTACTCTCACTCATGTCTTTCAAAACTTGTAGAACTGTCCTTTTTCTGTGACACAAAATACAGGTTTGGAACGACATGAGAGTGAGCAAACAATGACGGCATGCTCTTTTAATCCATAAGCTTACACTGTGACCTAAACAGTGTACATATTTATATTCCAATTAGTCTCAAGCCAAAATTTCACGATTGAGATTATCCTGCTTTTTGAGGGCAGTACTGTATGTGGGTGAAGTCAAACCCTCTTCATGCTGCCTTATTTCACAGATATTTGTGAGCGGTCTGTTGTTTTGTGTCCGTGTATAATTGAATTAGCCGTGGCTTTGATTTCCTTTTTTGTTTTTCCTGGTTTGGTTTGTGGAGGATGCATCTCTAAATGCAGATTAACACAGTCTTCAACAACAAATTCCGCTTTCTGCCAGTATTTCAGGACAATGCATCATTTGTTTGGGAACTCCAGAAGTTGAAATCTAGTCTTGTAGAATATAAAAGGAACTGTGATGTAATGCATTTGTTTATGCACCTTATCTTCATCAGGTACCTCCAGATCATGTGATTCCTTCTCCTGAGGACATCTATATCTACAGTCCACTGGGAACAGCGTTCAAAGTGCAGGGGGGCGACAGTACTGCCAAAAACCCCAGCATTGTCACAATGTAAGACCACCCTCGAAAAGGCTTTTAATGCATTGCTTCTGCACACAGAGTTACGAAGCCCTGCCACAGGACAGGTTTAACTGTGAATTAGAGTGCCAGAGCTAGAATGTTAAGGCAACAGGCGACTAATCAGAAAACGGAACAATACTTGCATTATTAAATATTCATGACCTTTAAACCGCACAGTTATTTAAGATTAAGACAAGCAGGGCAGATTTACATGGTGACATTTCCACCGATGTACAAGCAGTTGTTAAACTACTTTTGATTTAAATGATTGATTGTGTCTGCGCGTTTGTGTGTGGTTGTGTGTGTGTGTGTGTGTTGTGCACAGCTTCGCCATATGGAACACTATGATGGGAACATCTATATTAAGTATGCCATGGGGAATAAAACAAGTAAGTTTAAATATTTCTTGTGTGTTTCCTTTCCTCACTGCAGGCTGTTATGAAGGTAAATCATTTTTTGTCCTGTTTCTAGGCTGGCTTCACTCTGGGCATCATCATTATTGTTCTTATGGGCTTGCTGACGCTCTACTGCTGCTACAGAGTATTAAAGTCCACAAAGTCCATACGTAAGCCAACCACATGACTGCTCTCAAATAAACAGCCAGTCTTTCTCATTTTTTACAGCTCCAATACACAAGGCTCAAGTTATGAGATATAGTGACTCAGTGTAGCTCTTAGACAAAACTAGTCCATTATGGGCTTAAGATGTTAATACCATTCTCAGTTTAATGCACAATGGGGGGCATTATGCACCTAATTTTTAGGGGACCCCAGTGACAGATCTGGTACTTCTTTATGTGACAGACAGGATAATCCAGGGCTATAAAGTTTGTTTGATGCACAAGGGTTCAGATCATGAGTGTTATGGTTCCTGTGCTCATTTTTACATAAGCTGGTCTTGCTTAAGCTTGAACTGTAGTACTGTCCTGGGAGTTTTGTTTTGTTTATGAAGCCATAATTTAACAACCCCCGGAGTTCCTGCTAGGTCCGTCTTATATGTTCCTACATTATTGCCAACAAAATCTATTTCTCCCTGAGATGTTGACTTCTGTAACCCTGCGTTCTGTGATAGCAGGTGTTTCTCGTGAATCCTGTGTGATACGCAGCTCTGTCTTTGCAGCGTATGTCGATACCTCAGACTGGGAGTTTCCTGATGTGTGTAAATATTACTTTGGGGGATTCGGAAAATGGTCGAGTCTTGTTTTCTCACTGGTGTCACTGATTGGTGCGATGGTGGTCTACTGGGTCCTCATGTCCAACTTCCTGTTCAACACAGGAAAATTCATTTACAGTGAGTGTTTCTTCTCCCCGCCGTTCCTCATTTGTTCTGCTGTCCATTAACTGATGGACTGATGTTTTCTAGGAAGATCTGTATAACTGCTGTATCTGTATATTTCTCACAGACTATGTTCACAATGTCAACACATCAGACACTTTTGGCACAAATGGAACCGATAGAGGTAAGTGGTCACATTGATTTTTATTATTGTTATTATTAATTGGTCTGAAGTCATGAGCCTGGTCTATTTGGATTCGTTGAGCCATGCAGGGTCCAATGATACCCAGAGTTCAATGCTTTGCTGCATTTTGTTTGAACGAGTCTTGGTAAGTGTGATTGGGAAGGTTCACTCAGGATATGTATAATTTCGAGAGATCTAGTGCGTGGCTGCTTGAACCCATCTTTTCTAATTCAGCCGTATTGCCTATCTTCCATTTTCAATTTTATGGAGAAGGTTTTGCCAATCCTCTTAAATTTAGAAGATTCTCCTGCTGGCTAGGAGACTAATATTGCTAAATTGGAAATCCAAAATGCCCCCTGCATATTCTCATTGGCTATCAGATGTTCTTTATTTTATTAAGTTAGAAAAGATACGATTCTCACTCAAGCAGTGTTTAAATAGGTTTTGGAAGTTGTGGGGTCCACTACTTCAGTATATTAAAGAGTAATTCTTCACCCAGTCCTAATTAGGACATTGGGCGCGTATGGACAAAGACTTGATTTCTTATGGTTGGATTACAATTGTCACAAACGGCTTGAATAACTGACTTTTTATTCTGAGTGTGTTTTGTTTGTTCTAGGTTTTTTTTGTAATTAATTATTGTAATTGATATCAGTTTTGTATCTTGTTTTTATTAATATTGGTATACACTGTTTTAAAAAAGAAATGTGAATATTCTTTGCCCCATGTGATTTTCAGACAATTAATTGATATTCCAAACCATTTTTCTGTGACACTTTCACAAATCTGACTATGAAGATCACAAAAGACAAATATCTGTATTTTGGTAATGCGTCTGCTTATTGAAATGAAACTTAAATAAAAAAAATCTGTTAAATTTGGTTTAAAAAGATATTGTCGTAACTTTTGAACTGATTTGCCTAAAATGTCAGTTTATAATACTGGTGCAGTATTGGAATCAATATATTCTTTAGACATGCTGCATTTCACGTGCTTGACCATTCATTCAGAATAACAATTGTCTCTTTCACTAGTGATCTGTCCATATCCAAATTTGGATCCAGACGGAGACAGCAGCACTCTCCAATACTATGTGAGCGAGAACAGCACAGGACAGGTGTTTGATCTTTGGTGGAGTAAAACCAACACCATCCCGTTTTACCTCATTGTTCTGCTGCTGCCGCTGCTCAATTTCCGCTCCGCGTCCTTCTTCGCCAGGTTCACCTTCCTCGGTATGGCCTTTATTTTCCCAGCTAGAGTGGTAATATTTCTGCTTTGACGGGGATGAACAGCAGCTTGTGTTTTGCTCCGTTAGCTGCATCTACCGTGAGGTTTTCATTTATTTTCACAGGCACCTTGTCGGTGGTTTATCTCATCTTTTTGGTCACATATAAAGCCATTCGACTGGGCTTTCACCTGGACTTCCACTGGTTTGATTCATCAACGTTTTTTGTTCCAGGTAAAGGAATCTTCTTCTTTTTTCTTTTTTCATGCAATGTCTTGAAATCACCTGTAAACTAATTTTAAAGGGATATTTATGGTTCTTTATTCACTTCCTTTCACATGACTGCAGTGAACTTTACAAAGCTAAACATCAGTCCACATCGTAACCTCTACAGCGTTGTGTAGGTGAAGTGTTGTAATGTAAAAAAAAAAAAAACTATTTCAACTTTAACCCCATTTGCCTTTGAATATTTTGAACTCATCCAGTGATTGATGGAATAAATTGTATGACGTTTAAGTGATGATTAAATGGCCATTACCAGTGCAAAATCAGGTACTCCAGTTTAGTGAGTCGTTTTTCTTCCCATGATGTCTGGAGGCAATCAAAGCCCTGACACGAGTCATGTGAAAGAGTTGTGATAGTGTGAATCAGCACTTACTGTTTTCTGTGTAACGTGTGCTTATCTTTGTTATCTCTGATTGAGTTAGAGTTCAGATCGCTGTTTCCTCAGCTGACTGGGGTTCTCACACTAGCATTTTTCATTCACAACTGCATCATCACGCTTATGAAGAACAACAAACATCAGGAAAACAATGTGAGTGTTCTCAGCCTGTCCCCATCAGTGTATTATTACTGACTCAAAACATCATTCCTGTCCTTGTGGGATTAGTTCCATATTCCATACATCACACTTCTGCAATGGGTGCAGAAAAGTTTTTTTTTTCTGCTACAGAGAAACTAAAACGTTTAGTGCTGCAAAATAGACATAATGCTGTACTTTGCACAAAGGGAAAATGGGATGAGTCACTGTGGTCAAGAGTGAGTGTTCAGGAAGATCAGAAGGAACCTGACAAAGCCAGTAATGTTTTTGTGAGAGAGTGTGTGTGTGTGTGCGAGAGAGAGTGTGTGCGAGAGAGAGAGTGTGTGCGTGCGAGAGTGTGCGTGCGAGAGTGTGAGAGTGTGCGTGCGAGAGAGAGAGAGTGTGTGTGTGTGTGTGTGTGTGAGAGAGAGAGAGTGTGTGTGTGTGTGTGTGTGCGAGAGAGAGAGAGAGAGTGTGTGCGAGAGTGTGCGTGTGTGCGAGAGTGTGCGTGTGTGCGAGAGAGTGTGCGTGTGTGCGAGAGAGTGTGCGTGTGTGAGAGTGTGCGTGTGTGAGAGTGTGTGTGTGAGAGTGTGAGAGTGTGTGTGTGAGAGTGTGAGAGTGTGTGTGTGAGAGTGTGA